TATTGACAATTGTATTTTGTAGTGGTCCAGATCCTATCTGTGTAATAAAAGTGATAAAGTCAGGCATTCCAGGTTGGACCTGCCTCCCACACCTCTGGATCCTAGCTCACTTCTAGTGATCTACTTGCTTGTGCTGTTTTGCAGGAGGCATGGTAGCAAAACATAAGGCATGTCAGGAATAGCTGTACTAAACTGGAGTGAATTCAGGCTCTGGTAGCATCAGAGCAGGAATTGCAGATTACAATACAGACTGGAATGCCTAGTTCTTCCTGAATCTGGACTTGGCTTGCTGAATGGTGTCTGGTGTTCAGAATGAAAGTGTTATGCTGTAATGTACTTAGGCTGTTTTCTCCTCCAGTGATTTTAATTTTTCTTGCTTTCTGTAGACTAACTGAAAGCAGTAAATCAAAGATCTGTCAATATTTTTTATTGGCAGGTTTGTTCACAGTCAACAGTTAGATACACAGAAGAGCAGAGAAGGCAAAAAGCTAAGATCTCATAATCATTCATCATGTAAATTAAGTTTATTTTAATTTGTTTGTTGTGGGGAAGATAGAGAATGTTGTAAAAATCAGTGTATTATAAAGAAGATAAAAATCAGTGCGATCTTTTATGAGAGATTCATATGTGAAGTGGGATTAGTTTTACCTTATTTTAAAACCATGTAGGTCACTGGCATTTCTGTACAGCTCATGAAGGCACAAGCAGGAAAAAAAAAAAAGAAACAGATGTAGTTGTTTGAAAAGCTAAAATCAAAAGCCTTATAATAATTACGAAATGTAATGTTTAGTTGAGGCTACAGTGAATACCATGTTTCACGTGCTGTCCTTGAACTGAGAGAGTGACTGGACTCTTGTCTCTGCTTGCATTTAGGCTTTTCTCTTTTCACTTGAAAGGTTATTTGGAATTAATTATTGAATGTTTTGATGGGACTTGCTTCTTTTTAGCACCTTCATAAAACCGTTGGCAATTTCTGGAGTGAATCAGAAATCAGCTGGGGGAATCGGCATCAGTTGTTCAGCTGTGGTAGTCTCCATCCTATAGCAGATCAAAAGAATGCAGAAAGATTGACATTAGTCAAGTCCATTGACCTGACCAGCACAGTGGAGATATTTTGTATCAGAGCAAGGATGAGGACCAAGGATTTTCTTACTCACTGGGAATTTATTGAGTATCTGGTAACTGTGGTGGTTGACAAAGCATCACTGCCGGATGAATGACCAGCTTTAATTCCAGTTGTTATTTTGATTTGTGGCTTTCCAGATGCAGCCCAGTTTGAGAATGAAGAATGGGGCTTTTTCTGCTGTCATTGCAATTGTTAAGGAGCAGCTGTTAAGTCCTCAAGCAAACAGTTGCTGTCCTTGAAGTCAAGGCTCATACTTTTAGGACTTCAAGTGGATCTGCAGCTTTATTTCCGTGTATTAAATCCATGTATTAATATCGTATTTCCATGTATTAAACCTGCTGCACTAGGGACATGAGGATTAATCATGGGTGCTGAGGCAGATAAATAAATTTTATTTATCTTCTTACACCCTTTAGTGTCTACCACTTCACACCATTTATTATCTTCTTGCACTAGTCTGTCTGAACATCACACAGGTGGGTCATATTTTTTTACTTGTTTTGCACAACATTTCTCTAGGTTCCCCTGTTTTCTCCTCCTGAGAGGATATCTGAAGTGTGACCCCTTTATTGGTAGTGTCAACAGGACAGAAGAAACTCTTTTTCTCTGACAGATTTTTAGTCTAAATTTTACAAGCTGACCAAAGGATGTAGGCTACAGGAAGGATGACTGATGGGAGAAGTCCAGCCAGGAGCTATCCATACAATGACTCTTGTTGGCTTTAAAAAATGTTTCTTGGGGAAATACTTTGTCCTGAGCTTATTCCCAAGTTTAAACTCCTTGAAAAAAACTTGGATGTTCAACTTACTGTATTGAAAATATATTTAGTGAAAGGAGAAAGACCTTGGGGGCATAACCCTTCCTTTTTTTCTCCTTTCTTTTTCTCCAAGATTCCAGTCTTGTATTAGGCTTGTCAGAGGTGTTACATATTTGGTAGTCTCTTGCCTCCCACTTCTTCAAGGCACATAAATCCATTCAACTCTATCACCTTTGTGATATTGCCAAGAAAGAACACTCTTGATCAGTCCGCTGTGAAAATTCCTGCTGCTGCCTTCATTTCCTCCTGTTTGGGCTGCTATAACTCACAGCTCTTGGGCAGATAACTGCTGAAATATTCTGTAGGATTGGTACTCATAGTATGCTATCACAACCCAATGTGTTTTGGACAGTGACTACTGTGTGCTTGAATGCCTAAAATTTTCAATAACTTGATCTTTTAATTGTCTCAAAAACCTTGAATTTGTTAGCATGTTTTCACTGAATTCCTCTTTCTAAATCAGCTTGCATTTAGTTAATAATCTTAAGGGTCTTTTTTCAGCCTAAATGATTCTATAATTATAGTTAATAGCTCCCCCGACATCAAATGTAGTGCCATTCAATGTCAGATCTGTCTGCTACAGGAAATTTTTCATTTGCTTTTAATTCCAAATTTTCCCTCTTTGGATCAGAGGTTCCATGGTGAGTGATTAAAAAAAGGACTATTAAGTGGGTAGAAATTGAATGGATGTGATGTACTTGAACAGAGGGAAAGATTATATTTTTCTGTAAAAATGCATGCCACTTAGTTCTGCTGCCTGAGAGATGATTATAGTAATTGAAGTTGATTACAGTTAGTTCTTTAAATTTGCATTGCCTTCAACTGAAACATTTTTAGTTTAATTCATCACTCATTATGCCTTTACATGTACTGTTCAAGGACTGAGGACTGCATAATTTACAAAGAAAACAAGTCACTGAATGTAATGAGCTAAATTTCTAACAACATCCTCAAATTTCACCTCTAATTAATCACTCGTGCTCAGTTGCAGGCAAAAAGTTTAGCATTTACACATGTAACAGCATGTAGGCACAGTCAGACAGAACATTTCAGTACTGTCACTCCTGTTGGATTCCAGGCAAAAGAAATAAATTTAGATACTTTTCTTATAAGGTCCCAAGTGTATTATTGTTCTATAACATTAGGGTGGTAGATTACTGAGAGCATACTAAACGTATGTTCTATTCTTGTTTTTATGACAGAAATAACAAAGTATGAGGCTGGAGAAATATGCATGTTGTAGACTTGATTTGCATACAGCTGTAAAGCATTTTTAGGACTGAATCTTTGTTTAGTTGTGTGTGATTGTGAGTTTTGCCTTAAAATTGCCCAGAATGAGTGGTTGGACCGAGGGCTGGAGTGGGCATGAAGGGCTCTGCGAGCACAGGGCTCCCCTAAAGGAGCTTTTTTTTTTGCAGAAACTCTGATTTAATGGCCTTTGGCTTTGTGAAAAATCTTCTTATGGGAGGAAAAATGTTACAGGGTATGTGGTGCAGTCACAGTGATATTTCTGAAATACAGAAAAATCTTGAATTTCCGTGAAGAAGTGGAAAAGTCTGAAAAACAAGTGAAAACCAAACCACAACAAGCAAAAAATAATAATTAAAATAACACGTGTATCTTTTGGGCTGTCATTTTAAAATTCTGATTGATGTAACTTGTCTAGAATAAGTTTTAACTTCATAATTTGAATTGGCACATTTAATGCGGTTTCCCTTTCCCCCTTTCCATGGTTTTCAGCCTTCCCAATACATGTTTTGTTCATTTGGTTTTAATTCAATCCCAGTTAAGTATCTTAGTGCCAAAACAATTACTATATGGGCAAAGAAGGGAGCTTTTGATGCAGGCACTGACTCGTCCTTATGGCCACATTTGTTCTGGTAGGAGCTGCAGCCAAAGGCTGTTCTGGGTCCCAAGGCCAAATGACCTGGCACAGCTTCTGTCCATGCAACTGAGTTAATTTATATCACCCAAACAGGATGACCCAATCCAAACTTACTTCTAGGAATACTCCCTGGCCTGGACTGTTTCTTTTGAAACTCTACCTAAAACTGTGCCAGGTGGTTTTCAGTACAGGTGAGCACGTGCAGATGTCTACTTTTGCCCTGTCTGTGGTTGATGGCTGTGGGTCTCACCTTATCAGCCTTGTCAAGTGCAGGCAGTGACTGGCACAGGTCTTCTCTGTGAGCTCCCACCAATTCTAACTCTTGGGCTTTGTGATACTAAAGATTCCAAAGTTCTGTTAAGGTCTTCAGGCATTGTGCTTGTACAAACAGGCTGATGGAAAACCCACAGAATTTATAATTTTCAAAGAAAAAGTAGACAAGGAAAACAATTGCAAAGGAGAAATTATGTATCTCCAATAACGACAAATTAGAGAACTGAAAATACTGGCTTTCTTAATGCATACATATTTTTATAAATTATCATCTACTGAAATGTTTCTAAATTTAGTGAAAACTATCACAATAGAACATGCCAGATAAGAGCCAAACTCAGCACAAAACACTTGTTATCAAAGATCTTAAGGGAATAAAATTCAAGGAGCAATTTACAAAACTTTTGTGTTTATCAAATACAGTTTAAATCAACCCACCTGTGGGTCAAAAAGCACGAGTGCCACCAAGCCCTCTTTCAAGTGAAAACTAAATTAAGATCTGGGGTGTGTCTTATAGAATACATTAGGTAGGGATGTCCTGCAGCACTTTTCTGATCGACCTGTGACTTAAGAGCTTAGTGATTTTTCATAAGACCTGCCTCCACTGGTAAAAAAAACATAAAGGGAAAATAGTTTAAGGTATGGCCTACTGACATGGTTTAATGAGCATGGCTTTTCCAGTCACGGGAAAAGAAGAAGATTGATAATTACACGGTCAGTCAGGCTGAGATATTTTACAAACTGCAGGCAGCCAGTTTAGGTAGTGGAATATGTTTGTATTTATTCTGTGTATACACATTTGCTTTTACAACACAAATGGGTTCAAAAATCACAGACACTTTGTTTCAATGAGTTATAGTTTCACTGGCTTCATTTTTATTTCTGTTTTCTCCCTGCAGGTCAATGCAACAGATGCAGATGCTGATCAGTTTGGAGAAATTGAGTATTCTCTTTACGATGGATTTAATTTTTACAAAAAATCCAAAGCTTTCCAGATTGATCCACACACTGGTCAGATCTTTGTGTCTCAAGACATTGACAGAGAAGGAGATCCAACTACTTATGATCTCTTAGTAAAAGCTACAGATGGGGTAAGTTTCACCTTTCTACTCTGCCAGATTTGCAAATGCACTTGCAAATTTGGATGTCTGGTATACTTTTGAATTATGATGTAGTGACTATGTAAAAATTGCATGAATTCGAATGAATTGTTTTATCCTTAAAGAGACCAGAAAATTATACTCATGAACTGTGAGTTTTTATCCAAATAAAATTGGCTGTGAAATACTCAATGGCTACTAAATAAGGTTTGGAAAAATGTTTCTAAGAAATGTTTCTAAGATATGTTAGTCCTTGTTGGTCCTGTTGGACCCAATGGACTCCCAAGTTATTTCTGCTCCCTGCTTTCAAGATCACTGCAGCAGTAGTAAGATAGTACCGTGGGCTAGAACTGCATGGCTACTGTGGGTGACAGTGACTTTCCTGGGTAAATTCCTTGTCCTTTCTAGCTGGCTGAGGCCATTGCTGCTGCTGTGGCTGGGTGAAGCCTCCTTGCAGCTGCATGTCTGAAAGTTTTCCCACTTTACAAGATCTGGTGCTTGGAAGTGGGTATTCATGGTACAGTAAGGGCAGGGTAGTTGTATGTGCCTAAAATAGTCCATTGCAGATCCTGGCAGGAAGATGAGGAGACATTTGTTGTGGTGGGAACATTAGATAGCTTGCCTACCATGCCATGTAACAAAATATTTTGCTAGTAAGCTCCAGAAAAATAATGGAAGAAAATGATTCATTATATTATTTTCATTACAAAATACTAATTTTGTGATTTGCATTGTGATTTGCAGTCTGAAGTGGTTTGCATTGTGAGGCCGAGTTCTTACTTGTCTTTACCATCTTCAGCTTAATAGTGAATTGTGAAGAAGCCGAAGAAAAGGTTATTGGTTGCCTTCAAATGTTAAAATTAACATAAGGATACTTTTCAAATGTTATTCAGGTCACATTTTGCAGTACAATTTGTCCTGAAAAACACTGAAATTCAATTATTTCAGTCTATGCAGTTTTTATTTCTTACTTTGAATATTAAACTTGCATTTAAGATGATGTCCTAAGTGTATCTACTATAACTTTTTAAAAATGCAGTTGTGCTAGAAATGCTGTATTTTTCATTTAAATGCCTGTAGTTTTTATTATTATACATTGAATAAACTTAGTGAACTATGATTGCCATACTCATGAGTAGATTAATTTAAATAGCTGCAGTTGATGGTTGTATTAATTATTTCATTTTAATAATGTAGCCGTTCAGAGTATATCTCTGCTTTGTTGAATTCAGATATTTGTGTATTAGTTGTATAATGTATTTTTCTTTAGCTGTCACAATTGTCTTAATTTCAGAGGCTACAGAAATATTATTTTATTAATATTGTCTTTAGCTGTGTGCTTTTTCTCCCTCTTAGATTTCTTTAGAGGAACAAAAATGACATAAATATATTTGTATATTTGTTTCCATACTCATCTGATTTGAATGTCTAATAACTTGACTCTGCTCATTGCAGAAGGCTTGGACTGGACAGCCTTTGAAAGGTCTCTTCCTACTCAAACCATTCTGTGATTTTAATATAAGAATATAAGAGTGGGATTTTTCAGGACAGTGCCTGTAATGTCTATAGCAGAGGTAGTTCTATCTGACCATTTTGGAATTTCACTTGTATGTGATTTCTGTCTTCAAAATTTATACTTGAGTACAGATATCCAAACTTTGAAGAGTAAAGCAGTCTGTATTGGAATGTGTAACAGCAGAAAATTATGCATTCTGCTATACTTCATGATTTCATTTTTCCTCTCATTCACATGTTTTGAAGCTGTATAAATGCGAAGGACACATACATATGTCTGGAATATCAAGATTAGTCATTAATAAAGGGTATGTAAGAGCTGGACAATAGCAATAAAAGTCTGAAAAGTTTCTAAAATATTCAGTCTGGTACAAAAAATTATTTTGAAAATCTGAAAGAAAATATGTTTGCATGAAAAAAGCTTGATGCCTTATTTTTTTTAGTTAAATTACTGCTCTATTGATAAATCTTACCTCAAGTTAAAGGAAAAGAGCCAATGCGTTGAAACTATAGAGTATTTAATTTTTAAATTGCTCTGTCATTTATCTCCATTTATGGATCTTGTGTTTTCAGAAGCTCAATAATGGGGAGAAAGATTCAGTTTCTTAGTGCCTTGTTTGTGAGAAGCAAGGCTTGATCTACTTTACTGAAAGTCAGGACTTTGTAGAAGCTTGTCCATCTGACACCTAAATACTAAAGCACCTAAATTCAATATCAGCTTTTAAAAATTGTCAGTATACCTGAACTTATGCTGATCAACTCTTAACCTTTAAAGCAGAATTGTAGTAGGATATTTATTTGATTTTCTGACATTCTGCTGCTGATTTTGGTCGATTGAAGATGTTAGGTATGTGGCTCAAATTAGTGGGTGTGATCGGGGGATAAATGTGCACAGAAAAGAGAGTGGGAGAATGAAGGGTCATTTCTGACAAAGGAGGGTAGAGAGATGAAAAGTTAATTAGATGGAATGTTAATTAGAAATGAGGAGGAAAATAAAATATTTTCCAGGTGGTGTGCAGTTTATCTTACAGCAAAACTATCCGTTCCTTCACCTGTTCCTGGCTATTCCATTACATGGCTTTAGAGCTTGTCAGTCATGTCTTTTATGCATTGTGTAGAAAATGTAAGAAGTGAACTTAAGTTGCACACAAGAGCCCATGGAGAGGCAGGTGGAAAACAGCGTCTGTTAACCTGTTTTTAAATAAACATCCTGTGGGAGCTTGTGGGAGCCCTCCTACTGATTAAGCAAAGATGAAAAAAAGTGTACTTGTCCCTTCTATATGAAATGGTAGGTTTTCAGTTTTTCAGCTGCTTCATCATCACTGCAAAAGGTTCAGTACACCATCAGCAGGTGTGTTAGTGACTCTCTTACTGCCTTTCTGCATAGAGAGACACTTTGTCTCTTGGTTTTTTGTAATCCACCCTGGCTATCCAATTTTCTTTGTCTTTTATACTGGAGCAATTGAAACCTAGATATAAACACTTGACACTCACAGGCAAAGCTTCTGAAGAACTTCAGGCTTTTGAATTAATTGGAGACATCTCTCCACTTTGACAGCATTACAACTTCAAGATGGCATATCCTTTAGGTTTAAAAAAAAAAAAAAGCCTTTATGTCAGAGATTCTGTATCTAACAGTTCAGTTGGAACAAAACTTTGACAGCATGGTTCACTAAGAAAACTTTGGAGACTATGATGAAAATCTTGATGGAGTTTTAAGCATTTTACAGCACCGAGATGAAGAAATACAGCTGCTCAAAATAGCATAATTTCTGCTTTTTAAGACAAAGAATTTCCCCTGCCAGAGGCAGGACTTTTTTTTAAAGACTTGATAAAGAGGTCTACTAATATCTTTAGCTATTCACACAAATTTGATCTTTCTGAAGTAATGAAAACATTACTTGTTATTTTGACTTGATGGTAGTTTATGTTCCCATTCTCTTCCACAAAGGACATAACCCTCAGGACTCTGACAGAGAAGTTGTAATTGTGACTTTTTGTTGCATTAGAGTACAAGAGTAGTTAAAAATACTTGAACATTTGAGATAAGGGATTTTAAAATAAATAGCTGTGGCTTCCTGTTACTTGTTAACATGTTTTGACAAATGTAATTTTCTGTCAACAATAGACTTTATATAAAGGTAGCCTACATCTCTTGGAAGATCTAGGTTTTGCTTGTTTCTGAGTAGATGAAGTATATCCACATCGTTAGAAATAGAAAGAGTTTTAGTTCCTTCTCAATTGGAATGATACTTTTTTCAGTTGTCAGAGCAAGAATTAGGCCATAACCAGTTAATATCACAAGTTATTAAGTAAATATCACACTTGGCATGTGAAGGTATATATGGCTTCGTCAGGAAAAGAAAGTTCTGCCTCCATCGTAAAATTTAGTCAATCTTCTTAGAGAATAGATTTCCTTACATACTTAGAGTTAATCAATTTCAAAAGACTTTTCAGTCTTTACATAACTCTGCAGCACAAATCCAAATTGACTGAAGAGTGGGGTTTGGTGTTTTTTTCATGTCTGTTTAGCAATAATGAAGCTTGAAAGAAACAGTTTAACACAAGCTCTTGTGAGTTTAGTTTCATGCTGTTCCAACCATCTTTTTTAGATGCTTTTTATTCTTGACCTCACTTCTTTCCCTGGTCCTCTGCCCTTAAAATTACTTCTTATTCCTGTTCTAAAATACCTGAAAGCTGTGGACACACAGAGCATCATCTGACAGTGAGCAGAGCACATTCCTTCCCTTTCCCCTGCCTTCCCTTTTAGCTCCTGTACAGGGTTTTCCTGATCATGGAAATCAAGGTACTGGGGAACGGGCTTGCCCTGAAGTGGGGGTGCTGGCACTGGGCTCACTGCCATTTCCATTTCTCCGTATTGGTGTGGGGTTTCATGGCAATCCCAGTAATTTTTAGGCTGATGGCCATTCTTTAGAGTCCTGGTCCCCAGGCAAGAGTCCTAGCTGCTGGCTGCCTGTGCAGCAGCATGAGCCCTGGAAGCATGCCATGCCTTCTTTTCTTCAGAAGCACACCAGGGGGATGTGGGATAGATCTTGTTTGTGGGTGAAACACAGACACATGATGCACAAGATCATCTTAATTTTCCACTTACTTGACCCTTTATGGGAATGTCACTGCACCCAATAGAGGCAACATTACAACACAGAAGAAAAAGCAAAACCAGGACAAAGCAAAAATCACAGTGAAAATGTGGAAGGAAATGCTGATAGTATATACATATTTTTTTTTTAATAAGTCTGAACCTGTGGACGTACTAAGCAAACCCTCAAAAATAATTTTGTGGGAGATTGTTATGTGGCAGGGTAAAGGAGCCATAACCAGTCTGAATCCTTGGATAGTTTAATGAAGATCAGGTTTAAAAATAATTGATGTGAACAACTGGATTGAAGAATTATGCAACATAGTTGGTTTTGCATTGGCTTGGTTTCCTTTGTATCACGGCTACTGTGACTGCATTATGAAGTTTGCGCTAGCTCAGCATAGTTTGTCATGTGTATGCATGAACATCTGATCTGTGCCAGCAGTTTCTCTAAGTGACAGCACGCTCAGTGTGACTTTGAAGAGCTCAGGTTTCTTTCTCCATCTGTATTTTAAAGTATTGTATAAAGCACTTGCAGACTGTACATGCCTGTGCTTCCTTGTGCCTCTGAACATGCCAGTGCCCCAGTCTTTACTGTTATTTCTGCCACAGTGACCTGCTTTCTTTTAAAAATGCTTGTGCTTCCTATGGCTGTAAAATTATCTTGGAACATGAACCCCTCAAAACTCATGGAGGGAGTCCTCTGAGAAGTAAATTGCCATTTGTTTCACTCAGGTGTCTGTGGGGTCTACACTGCAGCACCCCCATAACGGAGGTTTTTTTGAAGATTGTCACAAAATTCAGTGCTTTGTCATAGCAAATCAATATTTTTCTGTAGCCCGGTCCGATAAGCCAGCTTGCAGTTGCTCCTGCTTCTTCTCCAGTTTCACTCCTGAGGAAGGCTAAATGTGGTCTCATGTGGTATTTTAGTGGGCTTTTGTAGGCCATCTCTCAGTAAACTGAGTATAGGTCTCATGGACAGCAGCCTGACAGGTCAGCTTTTGGCTGTCCTGCACTGTTTTAGTCTGTGTGCCTGGTTGAAAAAGCCTCATATTCACCATTATGATGGTTCTGCTTTTACATCTGAAAGTCTTATAGAGAGAAGTTATTTCTGCTTTATGGAGCACCATAGTCACCTGAGGGGCATGTCTTTCTGGGGCATAAAGCCCTGACTTTTATCTGTGTAGGATAGGTGGGGTGTTGATGATGTCGGCAGAAGCATATGAGGTTAGACTAGCAAGGTTTTTTATGTGTGGTGCTCGTTAGCATAAGCAAAACTTTGTGTTCAGACCTCACCGTTGTAGAGAAGCTGTATTATTTTATGTACTCAATCAGCCCTTGGTGTTGTGCTGAGCATGTAGCTTGCTTATGTGTGCACTGTTTTGGGGTATTGCAGATACTGTAAGTTGCTTTTGATGGACGTTTTCATTGAACAATATTGTTGCAGCATGTTCTATTTCCTAATGATGGATTGAAGCCAGTTGTGTACCAGCCTATTTTAAAAATTGATCTTGATTTTTGGTCTTTTTTTCTTATTTATCCAACAGGGTGGTCTGAGTGCCCAAGCTTTTGTTCACATTGAGATAGAAGATATTAATGACAATCAACCTGTTTTTGAACAAGACATCTATGTGACAAGTATCAGCAGTCACACACAGCTGGGAACAGAAATCATCAATGTTGTTGCCATAGACAGAGATTCAGGAATATTTGGCATTGTCACATATGAGCTGGTTCCAGGAGAATTTTCTTCTTTTTTCACAGTGGATACATCCACAGGTAATGTATGAATCTATGATTCAGAAAGGTGATAATTATACAAGATATGTATTTTTCTTGATGATGCTTTTTGTATTTGGAGTCATGTCATGCGGATGAAACTTAGATTCTGATGGAAAATAATTTTAGAGGTAGATGGAAGATTTAGGTTTAACATGAAACCTTTGCATTCACTGGAATAAGCAGAAGAATGGAAAACATCGTACATTCCAGTAAAATGAAGGGCAAGCAGCATACCACTTAATCACTATTTTCAGCCCTAAATCTGTTGATCATTGTTAGAAATAATAAAACATTAATTTTTTACAAAAATATCTGCATTTCTGAAATTCTTAGGGCTTACTCTTGAAGACCAATAAAACACCCTTCAAGATGCTTGTCCTTTCATTTTTTCTCTGTTTCTCTTCTAATCTTCCTTTGTACTGTGCTGAGTCCTCATTCTGCTCAGTCTTACAAGGCATATTTGCCTCCCTGTTTGACTCAATGTTTAGCTTTGTAAGTGTCTTTTTCTGCATTTTACTTTCTGATCCTCATTCTTTACTTTCCTTTCTTACCTCATCCTTCTGGAGAGAGGTTCAATGAAGGAGTGATGATGAGAGCAGAAAACCAATTATGGCAAAACCAAATCTGTGTTAGTTTTTTCAAAGACAGGATGAATCTTGCAGATTGAATTACACTTCCTGTTGCTACAAAGCAGCCTCTGTTGTCACGTTTCTAACATTAAAATAGTTGTCAGCATCAGCTGAAGAGAACATGAGCATTGCATCTACAACTGGCCATGGTACTTTCCAGTAAGTGGTTGATTAAACTGAAATTGCCATTTTTCTCGAGGGCCAGCCCTTGCATGTGAATATAACCTGATCAACAGATGGTCATGGCATAGATTATTCTCTATGTTTTAAGATCTTTTTAGACTGTGGTACATGTGTATATATATTAACTCTTTGGCATACAAAATCTTGCAAGGTTCTATTATTTCAAAATGGTGTCTGTTTTTACACAGTTCCCAAAACATTCTGATGAACAGAAGAAACTAATCTTCTTAGGAAGTCAGGCTGTTTCTCTTGACTGTTTCAGAATTTATTTAACTGTGGACTTTTAACTACCTGTCAAGTCAGGTTCTCGGGGTGTAACTGATGTCAAAAATACATAGGTTAGTCAATAATTAGGGAGCTGGATCTCCACAAGCATTTAACTGCTCATTTAAAACTGTCCCATCAGGCTTGTTGAAGAGAGCCCCTGTGGATCACATTAGCAGCACTGGTTTTGCAGCAACCCTCAGCTGAAAGAAAGCCTTTTGAAAGGCTTCTTCCTTGGATTGTGACCTTTCGGCCTCACTTTCCAATTTGGCACTTCGTATAGAAAAAATGTCATGCTTCATGATGAAGACTATAAGCTTGTGAGTTACTGTTACCTCATGGATCTATCATTGGTATTTTATCAAAGGCAGACCAAATTAAGGGTGAAGTTGCTTGAGGTCATTATTGCTGACATTTCATGATGAGAAAAGCTCTTAGGTCAGACACTATTCCCAGCATTATAGTGATTGGAATCTGATTGCACTTAATCAGATCTCCTAGGTAATTCAGAAGGTCAGACTCTGTCTAATTTTAACTTATTAATATTAATGCTGTGGACCTTTTTGTCCTGAATTTATATTCTCCCACATCTACTGACAATAGTGCTTATGCTCAGTCACTGGTGAGGAGAATGATTTTTAAACTATTAGAAAAAAATAAACTTTTTAAGCAAAAAAAAATTCCATTAATATTGCCAATTTATCACACAGAAGTTTTGCAATCAGGGAGAGATTAAACAAGTGGCTCACTGTTAGGGCACAGAGATTTTGAGCTCTTCCTCCTTACTTTTTTGTTACAGCAGAGTCATTTTCCAGTGTTTGTTGTGGTAAAGCTGTCTTCATATGCTCTGATATATGGCCTAATTTATCTGTGCCTCTCTGAAGGTTATGTGAGGGACTTCATCTAGTTAGCTGGGCTGCATTTTGTGAACAGAGAGCAATAGACAAGTATGTAAAGGAATAGGCATTCTCCAGGAGATGGATGATCAAACCACAAAGCCAAATGAGATGATATTACAGTTTGGTCGCTGTTTTTCTGATCATATGGATGTGCAGTCTGTTACTGATGTGTTCTGAAGTTTTTCTAATTTACAGTATGGCATATTCTGTTTTATTTGCTCTTCTCTTTATTAGAGGACCTAAACAGAGGGACGATGATGGTGTTGGAGAATTCTGTGGATTTTCCTGCCTGATAAGTTTCATTTTTTTAATAAGTGGGGTTTTTTTTTCTCACTGATAGAGCATTTAGAAAGGAGAAATAAAACTCAGTGCATTAGTAATTTTGACTTATGTTCATTATAGCCCTTAATATTTTATGCGGACAGAGATATTTTCAGTACTATGAGGTTTAAAATAATTAGTAGCAAACAGTTTGTCACATTACACTATGATTAAAATTGTATGCAAGATGATGCTGTTGTCCATGACATACGTAATTTCTCTTTTTTTGGTGTGAAAATTTATCTCACTGCGATTTTTTTCAGGAGTGTTTGTTGAGTGCTGCACTTAGGATACTCACTAAAAATTAACTTTTGAATTTTTGAAAGAGAAATGGAAAAATAGTAAAATAACACTCGAAACCAAAATTCTTCACTGTTATGGCTTTCTTCTGACTCTTGTTTGTTAAAGCTCTTAGTTTTTCTATGAGCTGTGTTCTAAATATCCTACCAGCTGGTCAACTCCTCACCATATAGACGATAACAATACTGCTTTTGATACATAAATATTATGAGGTTGAGGCACATCCAGGCACTTTGAAGGGGCTCTCTTTTGTTTCAAGCACTAGGACATGTGGATGTTGTAAATAGATGAAGTCAGTGGGAGTGGGAAAGAACATCCTTTCATTGGCCAGACAGACATTCCACTGAATTTTTTTTTTAATTCTAAACAAGACTTTATTAGTTATATTTGTTTGCTATTTTAGCTTTAGACACTGCATTTATTGTTTGTGATATGCTCTTGTACTCATAAAAAACATTTATTGTGTCTTGATTTTTGAAAAAGTTGAAGTGTTTTTCATTTGATTGATGATAGACTTTCCACAAGAAAAACCACTTTAAGCACTGTGTAACTAGAAAAATGTATAGATAGGAAACTGTAAACCAGCTCCTCTGCTGGTTCGTGACTCTTGCCATCATTCATTTCTAGTGTTGGTGTGAACAATATCTTGGTTTCATTATGTTGCCTTCTGTAGATATCTGATTCAAGCATGATCTATGAACAGTACTCATGAATTGGTTAGAAGACGGCAAGTTGAAGAGCTCTTCTGGCTAAGAAACTGTTTGAGCTATATTTGTTTATTTTCTCATTGTTACCTAACAAGCTATTTGAAAGACAGTGTATTTATAATTGTGGCTGAGCTAGTAATTAAAAATGTAAGTCACAGGATGCAATCATTAGTGTGGCAGAAAACCCATGCAGTGCTTAACTTTAAGACCTTAGGATTAAAAAAATGAATTTGTAAACTTCCATTACAATAACATTACCTTCACCTAAGGGCATGTAATTAATTTTTCTATTGATCTTAGTGAAGCCCTTTTTGAGAGATGGGTAAAAAGATGGTTATCATCATAGCTCTGGTTCAGGGGAGTTGTTTCAAACCAACAAAATTCGTAACAGTCCTTGAAAATTATTCTGGACCACTGTGACTTCATGTGTGAGTCTTCAGGTAAACAGTCTGTTCATGGTCTTAAACAAATCCCCTAGCTAGTCCCTGTGTGCAGAGAAAACTTCCATGAAGGCTAAGCAAAAGGCAGCAGCCACTGATTTGTCTTCATGTGAATGTATTAGTTATTTAAACCTAGCATTAAAACGATGTAGAGAAAGTATCATTCACTCAGTGTATGTTACAGCAGTATAAGCATTTAATTTAGCTTCTATTTCTTTCAACTGTGTAAGATATTTAGGCTCGTGTTTCTGTGATTCCTACTTAAATTAGATGCCTAGAACAAAGGCTATGTCCTTTCTTTTATGTACTTTATTGAGAATGTTTCTGTGAACATGGTGGATAGAACTGGGCTGGATGCCAGCTGCCACCAAAGTCACTCAATTACTCCCCTCCTCAGTTGTGCAGGGGAAGAAAATGATGACAAAAGGCTTGTGGGTCGAAAAAGGGGCAGGGAGAAATCTCTCAGGAATTACTGTCACAAGCAAAAGAGACTCAATTTGAGGAAATTACTTTTATTTATTGCCAACCGAATCAGAGGAGGGTAATGAGAAATAAAAACGACATCATAAAGATATTCTGTCCACCCCTCCCTTTTCTTGCACTTCACTCCCAATTTTCTCTATCTCCTCTGGCCCTGGAAGTGCAGGAGGACTGGGAATGTGATGAATTGTGCAGTACATCACAGGTTGTCTCTGCTTCTCCTTCCTCCTCACACTATTCTGCTCCAGCAGAGATCATTTCAACAGGGTCCAGTCCTTCAGGAACAGGATGAGCCAGTGTGGGTTTCCTGTGGGGTCACAAGTCCTGCCAGCAAACCTGCACCACTATGAGCTTCCCATGGGGTCACAGCCTTCTTTGGGCATCCGTGTGCTCCAGAGAGGAATCTTCTATGGGCTGAAGGTGGATCTCTGCTCCACTGTGGACCTCCATAGGCTGCAGGGGGACTGCTGCCTCACCATGGTCTGTACCACAGAAGCCACTCCTGTAGCCCCCACTTGGCCAAACCCTTGCCACATAAACACAGTACACTGAGATATTTAGAGATCACTCCATTGACTTGAAGATACTTGGATCACTCTTTTGTTATAATACTTTCTGTTACTTATTTACACCAAAAGCACATTTTGTTGAGACAAGCCTTGCTGTAAGAACTGGTTAGTAGCTGAACATTAAAAAAAATTTCAACACAGAAGTACAGCTCCTGCAAAACGAACATTCTTTTGAGGAAATTTTGACTTGCTAAAAATCCTCTCC